AGACGCTACCTCGACACTAAAATGGCAGTCTCAGTGAGCAGGGCTGCCCCACTGTCAGAAGGGCGCTGGTCTCAGAAGGCCACATCTCTTGGCTGTCACCCAGAGTCCTTCGCAGAAGGGTTGAGCAAACCATGGAGAAGGAACATCCCTGTCCCTGGGCAGCATCCCAGCCCAATGCACAGGCTGGCACGAGTTAGCAGCACTGCCTCCTTCCTGCTTTGCATCAATAGAGGGCTGGTCAATCTAGCATATTTCAGCAGCCCTAAACACTTCTTAGACACTTCAAAGATATTTAAAGCAAGCAAACAAACAAAAACAAACAGGCTGGGAAACATAAAAGCAGGTTTCTTCTATCCCTGTCTAATTGATCCAAGGGTTCAAAGATTCCTGTGAAGAAGGCAAGCTCAGAACTGCATTGAGGATGCACAGACCCACATTCAAAGCCACACAGAGCTGATTACTGCTCAGGAAGAAGAGGGGTTTCATGCCCACCCAGGCTCAGTTGCCCCCTTCACCACCTGAGAACACAACCTGAAGCACGCCTGCCTCTCACGCAGGGATGAGCAGCACCAAGCACGGAGGCTCCTGAACACCAAACAAGCAGACTCCCCCCTGTGCCTACCCTTTTTCAGCAGAAGATGTGCAGAGAGCAGGGGAAGTCAGGCTCGCAGCCAAGTCCTTTCCTGCCCTCAGAGCTTGTTGAGCATGGCTGGGCAGCAGTGTCTGCGTACTGCAAACAGCGCAGAAACCATGCCAGGAACCAGCTTACAATGCTCTGAAAGCATCTACATGCCAACGCCTTCTGGAACACCTGCATCCCTCCCCACCTACACCCAAGCTGCCAGGAGAGGTGTTGCTCAGTGTCTCCTAACAGTACCGCTGCCATCAGAGACGACGACTGAGGCTGACGTGCTGCGGAGAACAAATGAAAAGCAACCCAGAGTCAGTTTTCACCTTGGAGAGGCACTGAGGCTTAGCCAGGGCTGCTCTCTGCCTTCTATCCAGCACCTCCACCCCTTTGGTGGCGGGTGAGCCCCTTCTCTGTGCTCCCCTCCCAGCTGGCAGGCTGCCCCAGCAGTGCCAGCCTCCAGAGGGGAGAGCTGACAAGGAGGAATTGAAGAGTGGAATGCTGCAAGGCAGCACTCTGTTTAGTGTACACCAGACTCGAGTTACCTACCCAGGGACAGCCCAGGCAGACACTACCACCAGCTCAGTCTAGGAAGGGCTCAGCTCCATGCTCCCGATTCACTGCTGCCCGCAGAGCACTAGGCACAGTCGATTCCTTGCTGAGCAGATGCTGAAAACTCAGCCCAAACCAATTGATCTAGAAATGGGCAGCCAGCGAGGGTGGCACAGGCAGCCAGCGCTCCCACCCCGCGTCCAGCAGTGGTGCCGAGGGCAGAGCTGCCTGTTTGCATCATGGGACATCTCCCAGCACCAGGCAGCACTACTTCTTGTCCATGGTTGCCTTCACCCCTACAAAACAACTCCCTTATAGGCACAGCAAATGCCTATACTTGGGCGTTACTTCTCTCCGAAGGCAAAAGCCTACCAGTACTCGATGCTTAAATTGCAGTGTGTGAAACAGGGAAAGACCAGTTTTCAGGGCCACATTTTTGGGTGTTTGGAGAAACAGACACAACCTCTGTTTATTTGCTTCATGTTTTAGCTACTCTCCAGCTTCTTTCCGTTTGTTGCTTTAAGCTCCCTGTGTTTGCGTTTCTTGACAAGGTCGTTGCTTTCACAAGACTTTTGTAGCACTGCCCCACTTCCCTGGCCTCCAGCTTTGTCTTCTAACGTCCAATTGCTCTCAGAATATTAATTAAAATCACAAAGAGCTCAGGAAGAGGAGCCAAAACAGCAGAGGAAAACATCAGACACTCCTTCCTCCCCCCAGGCCCCCGGCAGAGGGCAATGCCCAAGACTTCGAAGCAAAAGTAACCTGTGAAGGACAACATAGTCTGATGGCCTGGTTCAGGGTTTCTCAGCCAATGGTACAGATTTTCCCAGAACTCAAGTTTGCGATGAAATTTTATTCTATCTGCTTGATGAAATTAATGTGTTTTATAACATGCCTGCCCTATCAGATGATTTTAGCATCCTTATGAATATGCAGACATTTTATAACCTCAAGCAGGGAAAGTAACCTGAAGGGAAAAAGATTTGAAAGCTCTCTTCACCATGAGATTTGTTGATATCAAAAGGCATGGCTGGTTCAGAAGTCAACTTGAATCTCAACTCTCTCACCTGCTTCCTATTACAGAAACAGATATTCTTCTTGCTGTAAATTGCTGCTATTAATAATATAAATAATTATGCTTTTCTAATCATTTAATAGGTGCACAGGAGGGTACCAAAGTTCCTGGCAGCCATTAAATACATCTCCCTTCTTCTCAAGGGCTCAGAGACACGTTGGTGGCCTCTCTTATGCTCCACTGAAGTTCAGAATAAGAGAGCTGAAGCCAGAATAAAAGCTAAGGAGAAATCAAGGCTCCTCTCCACAGGCTGCCCTGCAAACCCATCCTCTCTCCAAATCTCTACATGACAGGGACAGCACCTTTCCCACTTGAGATGCACGCATCAGAGCCCGCACATGGCTAAGCACCGCAACACTCACACTCCCTTCCTCGTGCAAGATGCTGCTGCACAGCCCCAGCTGATTTTTACCTTCCCAGCAGGTTCCCAGGACCCAGCAAGGGGCAGCAACCCCCACATCCCGCCGACTGGGGAAGCTCTACTCTGCAAGGGAACCTGCCCCGGGCCCTGCCGTCCCTCCCTCCCTGCACTACAAGCCTCAGTCACTTGCTGTTTTTCCTCCAGAGAACACTTTGTCCTTCTGTTTACAACAGCCCCAGCCTTGGGAACATCAGCAATGACACCACAGATTAACAAGGTCACTGCAGCCTCCAGCAAACACTGCTCCTGACTACAGCTGCTCAGCCCCTCTTCCCACCCTCCAGCGATCACGTACACAGACCAGCATGGCTCTGGCTCTGTCAGATGAGAGAAAAATCACCACTGGCTCCAGATGTTAACACAGCACAGGCACATTTGGATCACTGGAGGGCAGTGAGCCGCCTGCGGGCCACATGCTGGCTCTGCCTCGCCCTGCCTCACCTTCAGACTTAAGCCCCGTGACTGACCAGGCTTGCCACGTGCCTTAAGCAAAAATCCCTTCAGTGCCGCGCGCTCTCCACGTCTCGTGCTGCAAGACGTGGTTGGTGTGGCTGTGCCAGGGAGACAGTGGGGCTGCGTCACTGCCCGTGTTTGGGACACTGCCACATGGCAGGCTCAGCTCTTCCCAAGAGGGGCTCTGCTCAGACTGAGACCCTCCCTAACGCCCAAGGCACACTGTCCTGCCTGCAGTGGGACACTAGACCAGTCAATAGCAGGTTGCATTCAAGCTCAGATTCAACGGGGAGTGTGTATGAGAGCAGAGACCCTCTTGTTTTTTTTTTTTTTTTAATTATTTCTAGCTCAGAAAAGGCTGTGCGCTCCTGGTTATGCAATACGGTCAGAGCTGCAGAGACCCTCTCCCAAATAAATCTGGCCCGACTCCTTCCCACTGCAGCTCTTCCACACAATATGCTCACACATCCAGACAAAAATGCCTCGGCATGCAATGCTCTCATGCCCACACGGTCCTTGGCGCTGCCCTCCTGCACCCTCCACTCCCCAGCCCGAGGGACCTGGCACCCCATCAGCACGTTTCCTCCACACTTCACTCTGTCCCAGGAGCAGCAGCAACATTAAGGTTAATTTCCTGTTCCCCTTTCAGAGCAAAATAATTTGCCAAAAGGAAGCCCCTAACGAGGTGGGAACAGAAGGAACAGAAGGCCCTAGCTAATAAATTTCCCAGCAGTAATAAAGATGGACATGACGTGCAAAAGGAGACTGGGGCAGCCATTGTGGCCCATACGGCCTTTGAGGAAACAGCTCAGCTCCAGTGCAGCTGCTGATGGGGCACGGCAGGGCACGCTGGCTCCCTCGCCCACAGCTCGACTTCTTGGGAAAAGATTTAGCACTGACGTAACAGGCTACACTTTCAAGATCAATAGAGAGAGCAAACACGTGCAGCCAGCCTTTCTCCCTCCCAGAACACCATGCCTCAACCCAAGCATCATCTTCTCTACGCCAGTTCTACTAACAGGAAAGAGAACACACTGCCTGAGAAAACATGTTTGCACTAACAAGGTCATATTTAATCAGCCAGCACCTCCGGGGATACAGTTTCGTCTGTGTGAATTAATAAGACAGAGCAACCAGCTGGAAGTGCCCCATGCCAGGCACCCACAAATGTCTGCAGCAGGCAGTTCCAGGACAGGCAGACGGTCCCCGAGCTGGGCACACGTCAGGCTGGCAGGCTGACAGCGTGCTGTGGCGAGGACTCAGCTGGCGAGGGCTCCCAGAGAGCAGAGGCAGAACAACCCAGGGCCCAGTGCAGTGAGTAAAGCCATTTTGTCTGCTGTGACCAAGTCTTGCCACATCTTTGTTTCCAAGTTGGGCTTCACTGCAGGTGTTCCAGGGGTGAGACAGCACCCAGCGTGCTGATGCTCACAACCTGCCTTCAGCCCATGCTGTAGGCTCGTTCCTTGGGTGCTAATCAGAACAAGAGCAGCCAAAAATCCCTGCCAGTCACCTTTTGAAAGCTTGCTTTATCAGTCAAATCAGTTAAAAGGGCCCTGCAGAGCTTTAAAAGAGACAAAAGCTGATTTGCTGTTTGGCACATAGAATTTCATTCCCAATGCAGATTAATTCCATTAACTCATTCTGTGCTGTGCCCTTCATGGGGCGGATCCTTCCCTGCCCTTGCAGCTTATGGAAAGCTCAGAGCAAACATTCTGCAGTCTGCTTTCTGGTACCGGCACTTTATAGCCTCACCTTGCTTTGGCATTCATATTTCCTCCCATGTTGCACACTTGCAAACACCTCCCCTCTCCACGCACCATACCACAGCTTTCATGAGACCTTTCAATGCCAGCAAAAGCCCAGAAACTCACCTTGTGCTTCATAGCCAGAATAGTGATGAGCTGTACCCACATCCTCATCCCCGGGGCCCAAGCCAAGGGCCGACTTGAGCTGGGCCATGTTCACCTGTGCCGTCAGCTCACCGTTCCGGTCCCCGATCTACAGGGTGAAAACCAACAAGGCAGCTGGTTAAAAGGCAACATGCTCTAAGCAAACAGCCCCTAGCAAAGGGTTTGCCAGTCCCATATCAAAGCAAACACGCAGCCAGCCAGAAGAGACCTTGTAGACACCCTCAGTGACCATACAGCTCAGCTTTCAATACCAAAGCAACTCTCCAAAACTATTCCCCAGTGCTAATTTGGGAGAGGGTCCATGCATGCTGTGCTGCATACTGGCTGCGCCTCAAAAATGCATTTCTGCGGAGTTCGGTACAAGGAACTGAGGAAGCATAGCTCTCCCACTGCTACAGAACTGGGACAGAGGTAAATATGCACATCTGGTCCGTCCTGTAGGCACATACAGCTTGCCAGAGAGCCCTGAAACTCTCAACCCCCCTCCTCAAGTATTTCCATAGTTACTGAGCACCAGACAGCCACACTACTACCAGCCACGTGGGCAGTGCCACACTCAGGGCTTGGATGCTCTGAAAGCCCTTCTCTCCTGGCTCAGGTCCATGCAGCTTTGAGTTTTTCCTAGTGATCGACCCACACAAGACTCCAAAATCTTTTGGAGTCCAAATTTTTCCAAATTCCCATCTCTCACGAGGCTGAGACCGAGGAAAATGATGTTACATGTTCAGGAACAGATCTTTCCAGTGGCTCCTGCTACTTAAAATGGGGAGTTATATGACATGCTGCTGTGCCCTCCTCAAAGTTTAATCAAAGAAGAAAATTACTGTGCTGCATATCACCAGCAAACACAGAGAGGTCATTCAGAAACAGCCTCTAATCTTTAGAGGAACAGCAGCCTCTGTTACAGAGGAAGACCTTGGCTGTTCCCTTGGAGAGGCCTGACTCCCTATTAAATGCCTAGCAACAACTCTTTCGTGGTCCTTCGAGATAGATCGCAGTGTGAGCCATCCTAGAACAAAATCATAAATCCCCACATTATTTATGACAAAGCCCCAAGCACCAGTAAAGGGAGACAGATCAAACAGCTTATCATCAGGCATAAATCCCATGCCAATTACAAGAGATTTGCGGTTGACATCATCTCCAGAGAAATTACTATGTCCTGGTTAGGTCTTGCAGTCCTCGATGCTCTGTTCAATGCTTCCCTGACTTCCACTCATTCCAGATCCTCTCCAAGGCCCTATTAACACCAGAGGAACACATTGGCAGGACAACAATCCTAGGCAGGACCTACCACACACACCACAGCAGAGCCCTGTTTTCTGCCCTCAGCTCAGATGTCTCAGTTTCCCAGGAGCCCCCTGCCACATGCAGAGATAGGAAAGATATTCCGGAGCAGTGTCTGAGAGCTGGGACAGCTTCCAAGGGTTTTAGGTACACATCCTTCACTCCAGCTGTTTCAGAAGAAATTTTTCAGTAACCTCTGATCATCCTGCAGCAGCTTCCAATGTGCTTACCCTGAGCAGATTTCATTTGGATTCAAATGTCACCATTTGTCAGGGTAGAAGGGGGAAAGGATGATGGGAAGTGAGCTAAACACATTAGTGTGCAAAGGTTTAACTTCACTGGGTTTTTCACTGGGCAAAACGCTGGTGCTTGCCACCACAGCACAAGCAGCTCACTTGGTTCCCAAGGCTAAAATAAAACATCAGCTTTAGAACAGAATTACTAGCTGCTAGCAGCTAATACAGGCTCTCCTCGCAAGCGGACAGTCTCTGCGCTGCTCCATAATTAATGATGTGGGGGAGTTTATTAGCCACCTGCCATGAGTAACCTACTCCTGACATGCCCTGTAATCACAGCCATCACCCCAGAATGAGAACACTACTGTGAACCCCCACCCTGTCAGGTTTCCCCTCCACCCCCAGAAGTCACCAGGACCACTACCATTCCTGTCCTCCCATCGCCCCTCATCTGCACCGCACATTGCCGAGCTGCCATCTGCTTCTGAGTAATCATCCCCGCACTGCAACAGTCCTAGCAGACTAAAGCCGGAGAAGTTAATTTGCCCTAAAATGTACAGGGCCAAAGAACAGTATTTCTTCTGCATGTCTGATAAGTATAATTAAATACATAATGAGGCTGGTATGTCAGCCCTACCCCAAGATTTAGCCAACCTAATAGACAGGCAGGAGAACACACAAAGCACTTACATACGGTGATTTCAATTAGTGCTTCAACAGGGCAATTTCTTCATCTGGGCAAGACTAAAGAGGCCACGGCTGATTTCCTCATAACACACTGGAAAGAGCAAACAATGGCATTCTTGCTTTCTCTACCTCTGAGCCACCTAAAAATGCCGTATCTTTTTGCACCAGAAAAGCTGCAGCTAGCTGGGCAAGCACATCTGTGAAAACCAGAGTAGCTGCAATGCATGCAGCAGTACAGGGCTAGCTTCAGGCTGTGCTCGACCAGCATCAGCAATCAATTGTATTAGGACAGTGCTAGAATTTACCACCTCACAGCTGAGACCCCCTGCCAGCTTCACTGAGAAGAAATAACTTGTCACATGTACACTCTGTTGCAGTGCAAAACAGCAGGTTTAGAGCACACAGCCACCAGGTAGAAGCTGGCCTTGTTTCCTCCAGGTACTTAACTTGCCAGCAAATTGGGTCAGACCACACAGCTAGAATCACAAGGTCCATCTCAGTCAGGATCTCACAGCCTTGTGCTCAGGAAAGAGGGGTCTTACTAACAGACTGGACACCAAGAGGTATCCGAGTTCCTTCACACCAGCTAGGTGCACAACACCTTGGCCAGCAGACCAGACAGTAGTCCCCAAGTCCTTTCTCACCCAGGAATATCAGTTAAGAGCAATGTATAGCAAATGTATTAGCTGTAATTAAGGGGAAGGCTGGGAGCCTCCCATAAAAAGAATATTTTCCAGCCAAACTCTGCAGTTCCTAAAGACACCACTGAAACAGCACATAGACAAGGACTTTTGAGAGCAGTCATAGCAAGAGAAGAACTACATTAATACAACTCATCGGCATAAAATAAAGTCTCTTAACAGGGAGGACTGATTCCCTCTGATCTGAACCAGCTTCTCTTACCTCTTGGGAGATTTCAAGATGTTTCCTTGCAAAGTGCAAAGCTTGTTCATGGCTCCCCAGGGAGACATAGGCATTTCCGAGACTCCAGCAGGCTCTTCCTTCTCCCACCCTGCAAAACAGGAAACTGTCAACCACAGAAATGCTGGGCAAAACCCAGCAGCACAGCAGCCCTTTCAGGGCCTCCTTCTCGAGAGCACTGACACAGCCAGGCCTCTTAGCTATGCTTTCACCTACAGAAAGGTTCTGCAAAGGAAAATGAAATGCACTGTACATCTTAAACTCTTCTTATGCTGAGGTCAGTAAGGTCAGAGGATGAGCAATAGCCTTAGAAATGGGCCTGCACCCAGTGTAACAATGGCCCAGAATGGTGTGGCTTCATTTGTGAGCACCAGCCTGAGAACAGAAGCCAGAGCTCCTGTACAGCTTCCACCTCGCACAGGAAGGCTTCCTCCCCAGAGACGCACAATGCATCAAGAGGGCATGTGACATCCAGCCCTTTTGTTCAACAACAGCCCAGAGCTGGATTAACAAGAACATGGCAAGGAGGAAATATTGCAGGCATGCAACATTCTCCTGCTAAACACCAGCACTGTGTCGCCTGGGATGCATGCACAAACTGCAACTGCATGCACCAGCCAAGCAAATATTGATCTGTTTCTACAAAGCCTCCAGGGCACTGCTTGTTTTCAGAAGCCAGAGAAAGCAGGTGAATGTGAAACCTGCCCCAGGCAGCCCCCACCCACAGCCCCCAAGTGGGGCCAGCCCAGGGCCAGACACCCAGGTGTCCCTGGAGCAGGTTTCAGCACCTGTTTGCACAAGCAGGCAGAGCCTGCTCAGCTCTGCAAACGAGATGTGGGGGGTGATGGGATAAAAAAAGCACATGGGGGCGCAGGGGGAGGTTCAGCGTGACTGCAACTCCCTTTTCAGAGGTTTGGGCGGGTTGATCAGCATTTAAACATTTTTCTTGTCACCCTGTTCAATACCTTCTGCTCATAGGGTGTGTTCCCAGAAATGCAGGAGCCCACAGGCCTGCACCCCCACAGCATGATTCACCCTTGGGTGGGATCATACTTTCTCTGAGCAGATACTGCCCAGATAGTGCCACAGATTTCCCATTTTAATGTCTCTGCTCCATCTAGTGGAGGACACCCCACTTCCCAAGAGCCATCAGCAGTAACACCGAACAAGGTGGCTGCAAAGTCACTTAAGCTGCAAGAAGGCTCCAGGATCACAGAGACAGCATTCAGGAAAAATGTCCTTTTTTTAAGGGGTATCTTAAAAACAAAACCAAAACCAAAAAAAACACCAAAAAACACACACACACACACCCCCCAAAAAAAAAAAAAAACCAAACACAAAAAAAGGCCAAGCCTCCTAAAGAGGGAATGAGGCCAAGAAGCAAAATATATCATCTCCACATGTTCTATGTAACATCATTTGTTTCTACATGGAAGTTTCCAGCACCATCTTAGAGCAACAGGACAAAGTGGCATGTATGTATGTATGCCCTAACCACACAGTTTCTAAGGAAGATACATTTTTTGTGAACTTGAAGGAGTTTTAGAGGGGCCATTCTGAGATAAAACAGCAGTAGCCTCATGGCAAAGCACTGAATACAATGCATTTTCTTGAAGTACCTCTTATTAGAAATCTCAATCGCTTTAAGGACACAATCTCCAGGTTTCAATGACATGATAAAGGTGTCAATCATGTTACAATTTTTGACAGATGACTGGACTAAAGCCTGAGATTCTGAGAGATTTCTACAGACTTTCAAGAACACATATTGCTGCTCTTTAGTCCCAGCAGTAGAGAACAGTAAGCAAATAGGGAAGAGCCAGTGCTCTGAGCCCATCAGAGCACAAACGCCATCTCCTGAGGCAGTCCCTTACCTGTCTCCCAGCTCCTGTGCTATCACCAGATGTTTTAGATGGTACTCAATTGCTCTTTCATAGTCTTGAAGTAGTGTGTATGTGTTTCCAAGACTGTAGCAAGCCTGGGCTTCTACTGCTTGGTCTTTGAGCTGTCTGGAGAGCTGGAGTGTTTTCCTGCACAGAACAGGTGGAAATGAAGAGACCTGGTCACTGCAGGACACCTCTGCAAGGTGATAGGAAAGTCACCGCTTTGGCATGCGCTGCGTTGAAGCTGATGCCCAAAACACACTGCAGGCTGTCAGGTGGCTGTATTACTTGCCACTCTGAGCACCACACATGCAACTGGCCTCCAGGTCCCTTGTCACATCCCCCTGAGCCTATGAATTCACTGCAATAGGTCAAGATTTCCAGGGAACGCGTGCCCTGAGACTGTCTCAGCCCCTGGCACTTACTTGTAGTACTCAGCAGAGATGTCAAACCTCCCAAGGAAGATGTGTGCATTGCCCAGGTTGCTGTATGCTCTCCGCTCGGCTGCCTTGTCCCCAAACTCCTTAGCAATAGCAAGGCGCTGCAGCAGACATAGATTAGTGAGTACAGGCTGGCCATTGCCAGGTTTCTGTTACACAGCAACTTTTCTGGGAGATTAACTTCTTGGTTTGCAAAGTTCCCACCCAGCAAGGTAGTGGTGCACATGCCTATCAGGGCTAGATGCAGCAGGAAATCTCTCCCTCTTTTGCAATTCAGGATCAGGAAGGGCCTTTGGAAAAGTGGGAGTAATGTCGCATCCTCCTCTAACTCCTACTCCAGCCTGGTCCAGTACACATCTCTTTAGCTAGAGTGCAAAAGGAGTTATGCACATACTTCAACAGCTGAATAAAGAGGCCAACGGAGAGCTGTAGGTCAGGCTGTGAAGGGATGTGGTTGATCAGCAGACTAACGTGCAGGAACAAGGCTGCCACTTTGCACGGTGCTGCGGCACAGAACGAACATGCACGCGTGTGCACTCCATCTCACCATCTGTGCAGCAGCTGCTCCCCAGACCTCTGCCCTGCACCTCGGTCCTGCCTCTCCTCTCACATCCCCCTGCTCCCCATGCTTCCCCACTTCTCACCCTCCACTTTGCAGCACCTGCTCCTGGTCCCAAATACTGCACAGAGTTTCCCTGCCCCTTTTCAAGCCCCTTCTCCCAAAGCACTGCTGGCTTTAAATCCTCCAGCATTTAAAAATCAGAAGAGCTGTGACAGGGCTGACTTTCCAAGGTGTGGAGCACCTTCCACTGCAAGGAAATTGATTATACTCCAAACTGGAAGCTGAATTGCATTTGAATTGGGGCAGGGACTGTGTCACCTCACCCTCTGTAAAGCTTTACAGAAAGTTATTATGTTCTACAAGCAACATTTATCCTGATCAACAGCTCTTTGAGCAGCTTAATTAAATGCATGGCTTGCATTTATTAAAATCTAGACCGATACAAATTAAGAGCAGAAAAGCCTTGCTAGACCCAGATGCAATTTGCCCTTAGTTTCCAAGCCAACAGCACCCTTCCCTCAAACCGCTCGTCAGGTGCTGATGGGGACTGGAGTACAATGTTGCTCAGCATGAGTTAGTACAAGAGAGCCAGACCCTGAGGTGCACGCAGGAGGGAGAAAAACAGCTTAGGGCAAACGCCTCCCTGTACTTCCTGGGCTGTGGTGAGAAGAAAGGCTGTTCCCCAACAGCCAGTCTCAGCCCTGACCCCAGGAAGAAGGCACAGCAGTTTCCTACCTCCTTGTGGAAGGCTATAGCTTCACTGAAGTTGCCAAGTAAGTACTGGGTGTTGCCGAGGTTGCCATAAGCACGGCCCTGCGCAGCTCTGTCCCCCAGCTCCTTCACTAAGGACAGGTTCCTCCTGAAAGAAGTCAGAGCAATATGTCTGGTGAGATACAGCCAACACTCTCTGCAGGACACAAAGCAAAGAGACTTGCAACGTAAAGAAAGGAGAGCTAACCCTGCAGAAAGCATTGCCCCTCCCCAACCGCCTGTCCAGTGCATCCCTTGGCAGGTGAAAGTCTGGTGATCCATGCTAGCTGCAGCTCTGGGAGCTCATGCAGATCCAGTGGTGTAAGTCCCTGCTGCTCTCTCAACCTCAGGCAATCTGCAGCTGTGTATGGGAACTGTTCACATACCAATGGTCTGATAGGATCCCACATTAAATAAGAAATGGCCACCTCATTGTACAGGGGAGAACCAGGAGCATAGGAGAATGGAGATTACCTACAGCAGGTCAGGGACAAACCTGGGAAGAGGGGAAGGATCCATAGTCCCATGCCAGGGCTCTGCTCATGGAGCTTCCCAGCATATCTTTACTTTGCTTTTTCCCCCTTTACACTTACAGCACACATAGGGAAGCATAGAGCTCCCAGCTGGCACAAATTTACCCACTGGCTATGCTACATGCACCATTCTTTGCAAAAAGGATGGTGAGTTATATATAGGCACTATCACATCCTCAGATATGAGGAGATGGATATAAGAACTTGTCACTCTCTTCATTTAAAAAGGCTACTTAAAAAAACCTGCATTATTGAAGCAAAACTCTTTCATACAAGGAGAAAAACATTAGCCCAAAAGCCTGGTGACAACCTTCCTGGGTCAGAGTAATCTTTGAAACTATTTAGGAAAGGGAAGGATGTTACAAGCAAGATAAACTACAGATCCACGAGAAGGACAACTAGGACTTCAAGTGAAAGCCTCTTCCGTTGAGTGAAGGAGAGTCTCTGTTCGTGGCCCCAGCAATGGAGACACACAGGGATCCTTCTCATCGAGGCCAGCAGAGAGCAGCAGGGGCTACAGGAGCTAACAGTTTAGCTTCTAAATACAGCTCTGAGAAGGAGCAGACTATTGAACTTAATTGCATGATCATACTTCAAACTACACTGAGTTTTACCACGGCAATGCCAGGATGAATTTTAGCTCTAATTTTATAAAAGCTTGCAGTCCCTCTCTGACCTTCCTTGAGATTAATTTGCCATCATAACTTAGCATCTCAGGGGAATATTCCTAATTCATTACAATATGCAAAATATCATTCAATGGCCTGACTTTAAACAATGCTGAGCCCACAGTCTCATTCTTTGCAAAAAACATCTTCCAGAGCTCCCACACCCTCAATGGCCCAGGAAACAAATCCCCCCTACGAGAAATACTTCCAACAGGACTCAGTAAAAATTGCCGTCTTGCACCCCATACAGCTATCATTAGCCTAACAGTTATCAGAGCTCAGCTAACCTGCAGACCCTGAAAGCTGTCAGCAGAACAGGAACACCACAAATACAGATCATGATCTGAGCCAGATAAGCTCAGCAAAGGCGTACCTGTATGCATTTTAGCTATCACTGATGCCTGACCAGCCCTGTTCCCTGCAGAAGGAAGGGTTGGCCAAGCTTGAATACTTACTCATAATATTCTGAAGCTTTCTGTAGCGTCTCCTTGACTTCTTGAGGCAGGTAGCCTGGATCTTGGGCCATGTTCCAAGATAAGTGCTTTCCCTTTGCATGATAAACATTTCCTATATTATAGAGTGCTCTGGCTTCACCTACCTAAAGGGAGGAAGAACAGGGAGCAGCAAGGTATTACACTTCACATCCCAGTACGAACCTTTCCATTGCTGGGCCGAGACAGTCAAAGCCAGGAGGCCCACATTTTCCTTTCCCATCTTCACTGTCATGGCAGCTGTTACTGTCAGCAGCATAACATCTGTGATGCAGTCAGAAGGGAGAGCTTTACACTCCACCTCCTTCCAAAGCCCACCTTCAGCATTATCACATTTACTGACTCGCAAACAGGTTATTTTTAAAGCTAGGAAATATTTCCTGTTGGATGCCATGAACCAATTACCTTGTCTCCCTGCTCCTGAGAAATGTCCAAGTGTCTCTGGCAGCAAACGACAGCTTCATCAAACTGCCCAAGTATTTTCAATGTATTCCCAAGGTTGCCACTTGCCTTGGCTTCTCCAATGCGGTCCCCGATGGTTCTACAAGATGACCGGAGGAAAGAAGAGAGGTGTTAAAGAGCTCACAGGCTTTTATTCACCAACTGTTGGAGGCAGCATTCAAGCTGCAGTGAGCCAAACTGCAGCAAACACTGCATGGTATGTACACCACATCCAGCAGTTCCCAGCACACCTGACTTGGAACGCTTCATATGAGCTCTCTCAATTTTGAAGACACATTGTTGGTTTTTGCTGTCTCAGGTGAGCTTCTCTAATGACTTCAGGTGTACTTACAACGAGTACCTGGGGATAGGAGAACTGGACACTGCCCTGCTCTTGCTCCAAGCACTCTCCTAACACCCCATCCCTTTCTCCACCTCCCTGCTCTTGAAGGTGACTGACCCATTCTTGTTGCCTCCCGAGTTCTCCATAGGACAATAACCCCATGCCTCAGATCTAGTTTTGGATGCTTATTTCTGGGGCAGATTCCCTCAGGCTGCTGGATTCAGACCCACAGAACTTGCCTTCGCTCAAGCCCTGACAGGTTGTGTCTAATTAGGACAAAGCACTGCTGACATGCTTACCTGGCCAGGGTAAGGTCGTGTTTATGGTACTCCAGGGCCTTGGAGTACTCCTTTAGGTAGAAATAGGCATTGCCCAGCTGACTGTAGATGGCACTGAGAGTCTTCAAGTCCTCTGTCCCCACCTGCACTGCTGCTTCGAAGAAGGCTGCCCCAGCTTTGAAGTCCCCAGCCTTGCACAAGCGCTCTCCTTCCAGGGCCAGTTCCAGGCAGGATGCCTCCATCCTGCCAAAAGCAAGACCGTCATTTCTACAGGAGTTAGAATGCAGTGCACCCATGCTGCTATGCAATGGTTAAAAAAGTTCACTTCATTGTACACCTCACTGCACCAGAAAAAAAACTACAAAAAACCCCTGGAGGGAGCCACCCTCCAGGCAGCAGCTGCCTCTCTGCATTCAGCCCCAAGCACCAAGGCACCAGCCCCAGGTCAAACACTGTTTGGGCGATAATAACTCAGGGACACGCAGCTGGCACACCTCACCAGTGCGGACAGCAGCTTTCAGGGGACACGGTGGGCACTCAGCCCCTCTAAGAAACCAACCTCCTAGGCATGAGACACAGGAGCATCCAGATTTACAGACTGCATGGGCAAGTGGCCAAAGGCAGCCCCTGGGTTCCCGGTAGGAATCTGGACAAGAAACTCAGGGCTCCTAGCTCTCAAGATGCACATTCACATCACAAGAGTAACACGGCATCTGTTTTTCTTCCAGGTGATGCACGGCGCAGAAGCCACGTACCCAGGCTATTCACACCTGCACCACTTTCCCCGGGGTAACAGAGAGGGTAGCCAAATTGTAACACATTTTTATTGGATACCAGAGAAAACCCTAGACTATGCAGAATTTCTTGGCTGAGCAGCTCCCTGTGCTTGGTGTCTGCTTTTCATTAACTCCCCTGCTGTCACTTTTTCCACAGGCACTCTGCGCATTACCCTCCAGGCTAGCTTTCCTCCCTTGCATTTCTTGACACCTTTGGCAATGGTGCATGCCATGCTGTCAGTGAGTGCTCTGCAAGCCAGCAGAGAGGAGCAAGACCAGTGATACTGCTTCAAGAGAAAGGAAACGTGTTCCTCTGAGTGCTCCACTAAGTCCTCTCAAAGTCACAGCTGTCCCTGTTAGACCATGTGTATCCTCCAGTTCTCAGAAGAAACAGAGTACACATTTGAAAGCTTACATTTGGAAGCGTCTTGCCTGCTGCAAAGCCAGCCCCTTCATGAGGCAGATGGACACAGCATGTTCCTGCTCCTCTATTCAGACGCTTCTCTCTGCTCTTTTTGGCTTTTTCGTTTCTGCTTAATGTATTTTTAAAAGTCAAAACTATCTAGGTCAAAGGTCGACATCTGCTCAGAAAAAACATAACCCATTTGTCCAGGGTCAGAAAAGCAAGGGTCAGACAAAAGATGATAAATGTCCAAAGGCGGTTTCTATTCTGTTCTCAGACAAAGAGCACTTGCAGGAAGTTTGACTGTGATACCCAGACTAAGAGAACAACTTGCTCATCATCGCTGCAACAGCAGCAGCCCAGCTGATGTCTCCTGCAGCAGTTTCCTACTGAGCCCTAGAAGATGCTTCCCCCAAAGCCACCCTTGTGATGAGCCAAGGCCCAGCCCCTGCAACCGGGGTTTCTGCAGACCAAGGCTGAGGCGTGCTGGCCAAGCCGGGGCACCCTGCACTGCTCCAGCTTCTCTCCCTGAGGACACCAGCTGCCAGCGTGCACCCACACATCCCCCGGGCATACCGACTTCAGCGCAGAGTTCCTCCTGCTCCACGTCTGTGCCCCAGTGTTTTCTGCCCAAGTCTGCACCCAGCACTTGTCTCCCTCTGCCACGAAAGGGCACAGGGAGATGCACGTACGAAATACCAATCCTGATAGATTTTTCCTACAAACAGGCAGAATGGCGTTTTCTCAGCTGCCGGGAAACAAAGCCAGTTCCTCTGAGCAGTGCATAAGCTGTCTAAAATCCAGCCCTATTTGTCTGGCAATCTCCCTGCTGAGTCGTCTCCATATGGCTCCAAACGCCGAACAATTGGCAGCCCAATGGCATCCTCCAAAACAGGACAACCCACAAGGACTGTCCAAAAAAAAAAAAAAAAAAAGAGGCAAAAGAGCCGGTTTCAGACTCTCCCTCCAAATACACTTGTGACCTCTCTTGTCTCACTGTTCATTTGTCCCCAAAACCACCGAGTAACAAGAGGGAGAACGGGATTGTGAAGCAGCTCATTTGAGCTCCCACCTCAAACTCCCACACAAATATTTGATTTCAAGCTCACTGCAAAGCCCACATTTGAGCGGCTACTTTACTTGCGCAAGAAGGCTGCTTGCGATGCCAGTGCAGCAGCAGTCCCTGCCTCAACTTCTGTTTGATAGGGGAAATAAAAATACTAAGACTGTTAAATACTAAAAATGTTTAACTTCTCTCTACTGATCCTCTTGCTAGACCACATGAAAAACTTAGTAAGAATGAGCTTCTGCTAGAGCGTATTGAACTAGAGGGACCCATTTGGGGATCATACCAAACCTTCCATCAGTCCCAAGGCACATTCATGGATCACTAGAGTGGTTATCTAGTGTCATCATCAGATGTTGACCAGTCTCTGCCGATACATCCCAAACAGCTGAAAGGAGGGCTTAGGACTCAAGAAAGACAAGGAACACCTTATACTCCTATCAGCACGATTAAATTCAGGCAGCTTAGCAGACATGAATCTTGAGACGACTTGAAATGCAGGCATGAGCCATTATCACAGAAATTAATGTTGGATTCCAGTTAGAAGATGGCAGAGACAGAAGCAAATTTCAAAATTATTTCAGTTTAAATTTCAACACAAACAAAACTCTTCCCAATATGCAGGTTCTCTTTAAGAAACTGAGTTCACCAACTGTAAACAGTCTAAAAACCGAGGTGGAGACCAATCTCCCCAATTCATGGCATTGCAGTCTAGCTCAGATCAAACTTGTTGTGTGATTTGAATAGCTTGAAGTGAGGGTTCCCATCCCCGAAACACAGAAAACCCTATAGCAACAAAACCCAACTACACGCTCCAAGGGTGGCATCTCGCTCAGGCCATATTTGCCAGCAGAAACATAACCAGAAGTGAAATTTGTGCCCTGGGGCCTGCATTCTGATACACTCACAGACACACTTGCACACTCGCACTCTCTGGGTGCTTTCCTGGTGTTCCCATAGTAACTATTCAGGCACAATGCAGGGACATGACCTTCCAGTGCACACAGCCTTTAATTAAAATCTGTTTGTCCTTGAACAGGCTGCTTTGCAGAGTATCTGACTTATCTAATTAACATCACTGGGACCTAAGCAAACAAGGGGAAGGGAGACAAGGCGTTTTCTCTGCATCGCACTCTGCCAAGCCTTTTGCTGCCATGGAAAGGGACAGGAGTCAAGGATAGCAATTATTAATAGAAACACAACCCACTTCCAAAACCCACCTGCCCTTCCCGCATTCTCAGGGCCCCACAGCCAAAGCTAGTTCTGGGAAGCAACTTTGCATGCAGTTCAGTCACCGCAGGCTTAAAAGCACTCAGAAACACAATGCCAAGGGCAGAGGAACCAACTAAAGGTCAACGAACAAACTCAAGCACACTAAAACACTACATGTACAACAGCTTCCAAAGGCCATAGCTCAACTGTCCATAAGAAAAGACCAGAAGGGCAATTTAGGCAGAAGATAGAAATCTGCTGTTCAGGTGGGCCAACCTGAACCCCCTTGACAGACTGGCAAAGGAAACGGACAACAGTGAATAAAGACAGACTCAAGTTACAGCCCCCGTTCCTCCCACAGCACATGCCTGAGCCTTCTCCTACCTCTTCTTCTGCAGGTTACGCATTTTCTGAACATAAACCCAGAGCTCCAAGCTCACTGGCAGAAGGAAGCAGCGGGGCTGAGGTCTACTTGGAACAATTTTGCAGACAGGTCTCTCTGATAAGTTCACAGGTAGGATCCAGGGTTTTGAAGATGTTGCTGGCATCTTCATGTCCGTACAACACGCACTGCTCTCCAGTTTTCAACTGCTCTTCAGTTTTCACTCCATCTGCTTGGGCAACATTATCAGTAAGTTGCTGGAATCTTGAACTTCGTTTATCTGGGACACTTACTTTTCTCTCCGTAGAGAAAGACTTGAAAGCCTTCCTTGAAAGGAAAGAGGAAAGGAGCATTGCTTTTGTTTCCAGAGCCCTAGAGAAAGTAACGTCCCTTTCCTTTAAGAAATATAATATCCTTCATCCACTGTTGGTTTCAGGTACCCGATAGGTGGGTTCACAGCTGAAATCCAGAAACAAGAGAGTTCTTGGTTCATTCACATATTTTCAGTGCTGCCCAAAAAAGAAAAAGGGCCCTAGAAGAGTCTGTGAGATGGCCAGTCAAAGGCAAAGAGCTCCCGCCTTTCTGAATTGGTCTCTTCCCAAAGCACTTTGCCTCTGTGGTCGCATCAGCTATTCCTGTTGGTGCCTCTTTGCTCCAAGAGCAGAAGGACTTCTGCTGCTATGAACCTCTCCTTGTCAGGTGAGGAGCTCAGGGTTCCTCCAAAAGAGGGTCACCTTTTGGCAGAAGCACACATTAGTCTGACAGGCTCGAAACAGGCCTCATCCATCTGCCACCCAGGAAGCTTTGCAAGTTCCAGAAATGATCTGAGCAGTTCTCAGACTGGGGAAAAGCAGGAGAAGGCAGATCCCACAGAGCACATCCTTGCCCATTTAAATGGGCTCCAAAACATCCCCCATCTGAAAAGACACAGACCTCTACCCCTCACCCCCCAGGTATTAAGTTTCTCCTCTGCTGACACACAGGCAATATGCCTGGGCCTGTACCACCTCAGCAAGCACCTACTATTCATGTCTTAATACCAGAAAAGAAGATTCAGTCCCTCCTGAGTCAGCAAATTACCACTGACAAGCTGAAGGTGCTGGGCTTGGCCATATGGTGTGCTTCAGAAGAGACACTGCAGAACATGAGCTGCTTTTCTTACCTCCACAGCTAAGATGCTAAAGCTTGTTAATGCAATTCGCCCACCACTCAACCTTTTACCTAACAGCATGGTATGTCCCTGCCTGTGGGTTTGAACAAAGACACAGGGAGGGGGCGATGCTCACCTGGAGCGGCCCCTGTTCATAAGCCTTGTCCTAAATCAGGGCAAACCACTCATCCAGATTTTCATGTTCCTCCAGATAGGAGGATTTCCAAGTATTGGCAGAAGTCACATCCCAGACTCCAG